ACACACACACACACACACACACACACACACACACACACACACACACACACACACACACACACACTTTTTACCAGAAAATATTACTTGCAGTTTCTTAACACTGAGCAATACAAATGGTAAATAGCTTGAACTGATGTGTTGTCAAGCCCAAGGACTCCAAATCAGTTTACATTATAATCATTCAAAATGTTGTAAGCTACATTGTAGCTACAGCTGCCCAGAGTCAGACTGACAGAAGTGAGGCTGCAATGCACCGACTCCACCAAAACCCAATGACCATCAACAGGCAAGCAGGTGCAGTGTTCATCCCAAGAACTAAGGGTTTGAACCAGCAACCTACTGGTCACAACAACTCCCTTCACTCTGCCACACTCGTCTATCTGAACTGATGAACTTTTCAACCCATCATCATTTACCTCATCACATATTTTCCATTGTTGTTGCTGCCTGAAAACTCAATTGTTTTCTTAGAATTTAAAGATGGACGACGTTACCTTTTGTTTTGTCTGATGCCACAAATACCCCCTCTGAGGCCTCACCTGAGGACTTGACTCGGTGGAAATTTCTGACCTCAGAAGGATTAAAAAAAACTGTTCAATAATTAATTTTTGCTGGAAATGATGCATAGGTCAAAATGTCTCATTAACCACTCAAATGGATTTTAATGAATGAATAAGTTTTACAAATCTATTATTATTTTTCTTTATTCAACAGCAACAAATAGCTAAATTACTTTTAACTTTCTTAGTAAAACAGTATTATAAGCTGTTGTCTTCCAGAAAGAGAGTCACAGGTTTTTATTCAGTCACCAGCTTCATCAACCAAACACAGAAAACCAGTAATAAAAATAGGAGCCCACAGTTTTTTTAAATTATTATATTTTGTGTCAAGTAAACCTTTTAGAAAGGTCTTTAAGGTGTTACCAATGGTTTGTTTAAAAGTGGTCAAATGCATTGCATGCATGSAGCTGACTTTTTTGATCAAATTATATATTTTTTAAAAAGACTGTTGACAACATTGCAAAAACAACAATAGTCACAAGTGGACAAAGAAAAAAAAATCCTGTTTAGCCAAAAAGATTTGATCTTTACCCTCTGGTAACTAAAAGAATTTCTAAAACTGGAAGACTATAGGTGTGTCTGTTGGGACTATTTATCTTATTGGAAGAACCTCTGCAGACACAAGGACCCAGCATCCTCTGTGCTGCTCAGACTGCAGGTTCTGTTCCAGGATCTTCATCCAAACAACAGTTCTGAGCTGATTGTGAGACATCAACATGAAGTTCTGTGTAGCAGCTCTGCTTATAGCAGCTTGTCTGTTTGTGCCCTCCATACCGGCAAGTCCTGGTAAGTGGGATTTTTCTTCCTCCATGTGTTTCATTATGTTTTTGTTTACATTTTTGTCTGTTTAACCAATGTAGAAATGTGATAACTTTAAGAATGTTAAGTCCACTTTTCTCTAAAACCCAAGAGATTTTGATACTGAGCAGCGTGCACATCCCTGTCACTATGACGCTGAACGCCCCGGAGATGAAAAATGCTGTCAGTTTATTTAGGATCCTACTGCATCCATCCTATTTTAAGTAAGAGACACAGAATTTACTAAAATCGAAGGTATTATTTTGCAAAAACTGTTTTTAGTTATATCAAGCTTGGGTTGATGAAAGTAAAGGGGAATCTTTTTTTATGAAAACAAAAACAAAAAAATGCTTAAAATAAACAAAAATATAGCTTGAAACAAATTAATAAATTA